AGAAATAAGTTAGGGCAAAGCCCAGAGGTCACAGTGAGCCACAAGTCATTGACAGCATCACAGAAAAATAGAAAAGTAACCAAATACTGCAGTTAACTAAATACAAAAAAAGTCCTGAGTTTCCACCTTGCCTTGAAGGCTGGCAAAGAGTCAAAGAGTGAAATATCCAACATCATTATGGGCGCAGTGGAACTGGTTTCAAATACGGCCTGAAGTGGGAATTGGAACAATCCTTCCAGACAGTAAAACGGCAAATATTTTTTGAAGTTGGCAAATATTTAAGTTTCACAGTGGCTTTAAAAATGGGTATCTTTATTGGTCCAAGAGTTCATCTTCTAAACACTAGTAGTAACAAAATAAATTTATATAAATCAAAGAAAAAGTGAAAGCAGAATTGTTTCTTACAACAGAGTAACGGTTGTAAAATTTGTAATTATTTGAGATGGAATACGATAAAAATCCTGTCCATTGAAAACAGTGACATGGGGAAATGCTTGCAAAAACAGGGTAGTGAGGTACGTGGAAGGAGAAATGGACACACAACCAGAAAGACAAGCACCAAATGCTTGTCTTTTTCTGTAAGTAAGTCATTTTCTGTGACCCATTGGAATTTGGAGCAATTTATATTAATGTATTTTCTCTACTAGGAAAAAGTTTTATATTTGTAATTCATACAAGGCAACAAGATGCATATTTCAAAGTTAATGAGAAAACAAGACAGTGGAGATTTTCCAATGTCCCTCTTCCAGTCCCCTGCACACTCCGCATACAGCACTGGCCCTGGGAACAGGATAATGGCCAACTGGGGACAGCACGGCCAGAGCCAGCTCTTGAGCATCCTGCTTGCCCTTGAGTTTGGCACCTGCCCTGCTGCACTTGTGTGAGGTTCCTACCACGCCCCCATCCCGATCTGCCCAGGTGTCACCTGCCCTGCCAAAGGTGTATGTCAGCACAGTGACTTGGAGAACTGATCCCACTGGTCTCAATATCTGTAGGAAGTATCAGGACAGTTATGAGTTGTTGGATTTGCTGCAAAGCAGCAGGAAGGAAACTATTAGAGAACTAAGAGCAGGGGCAGAAAGACAAGGTGCTGCCTCTGTAAGGTCCCAGTAGCCCGGGTGGCCTGATGGCATCTACTTGGTCACCAAGTAGAGGCTCACCAGACATCATCTGGCACCAGCAGGAGAAAGGATGGCCATTAGGGTCCCATTCTGAAGGGGAGGTAATGAGTGTGACAAGTGAGGACCTTTGTCCAGGGTCATAAGATGAGTGACCATGCAAACCGGGTGGGGTCTGCAGCCACACAGCCTCGGAGAAAGTTATTCAGGGCCAGGTTGAGATGGTGGTCATGCAACCGTGAATGTCTCAGGCTCTAAAGCAAAGGTCCTTCCAGGGCAGATTATGTGACCCCACACTGGCATGGCCCAGACACTGTCCCTGTAAGTTTCCTGAACTGCAGACAATCTGTCACAGGGCTGGTGTCCCCAGAGCCCCTGTCCTAAATTTCTCCCAGGTATCAGGGCTTGCGTTCATGTCTCTGGCCAGTGCCAGAACTGCCCACTTTGCCCACATCGCCACCCCCTGCTGTGGAAGGAAACCTGTTCTGGAGCTGCAAAAGCAGAAGAAAGACCTTCCTGAGTAAGCGGGGGGACTAGGCTCTCGATGTACTTTATTCTTACACATGTCATTTTAGGAGATGTACACAAGTGTGTGTACCTGCGTCTGTGTGTTTTTAAAATAGAGGTCAGTTTAGTAAAATGAAAATTTAGTGAAAAAATCACTTCTGAGCACAGGAGATAATAAAGAAGCAGCCCACACATGGAATAATCTCTGGGAGCCTAGTGGTTGTATGGACCTTTCATGGGGAAAAGAACCACAGCTCAGCCATACCCAATTCTGGGTTCCAGGGCACTGAGGCAGCCCTCCTCTTTGGGTGCATATGCATGCGCGCGCGCGCACACACACACACACACACACACACACACACACACTCACTCAGCCAGGCACAGGCATCTCTATCCACAGAGGGAACCTGGACCAAGAGCCACCATGAAGGTGGGCAGCAAGAAACTTTCAGACAATGACCTCTCTGTGCACTTGTTGGCCAGGACAAGAGAGGCCAAGACCTCATGCAGCATGACACCAACACAGTAGGACAGCAGCACTTTGCACCTGGCATCACTTTCACCACCTTTAACTCTTCTCAACAAAACCATGCATGGCCCCCATCACCCAGGGGGTGCAGGGAAAACATCCACTGGTAGATCTAAAACTCAACGCTCACAGACAGCAAGCTCCTACGAGATCAGCTTTCTTCCTTTCATCCTGTTTGAACACATTCCCTGCATGTAGGATGTCAACAATTTCCTGAGCACCTACTATGTGCATGTGCAATACACAGAAAACAAGCTGTATGTTTCAGTTATCATCAAACACTCAAATCTCCATTAATTCAAAACAACAGCAAAAGTATTTTCATTTGGCAAGTCTCTCAGAGACTGTGCGTACTCCAATCTCATAGAAGTATCCCCAGTAACTTTCCACATCCTGTCTTGTTCTTAAGGAGGATGTCACGAAAACTGCTGTCTGCTGCTTGCTCTGTGTCCTTCTACATAGGGGCTCCATAACAAGATGAGAAGAGAAGACCCCCCCCACACACACACACATTCCAGTATCAACATTCAACTCTAGAATCGGGGCCTGCAGCCTGGTGTGCACCATTCCCTCCAGAGGGCCGGGGGAGAGCGGTATTTCTGTTGTAACTCTGTGTTATTTCCTTTGATGCACTTAAAAGCATTATTCTGAGAAGTGATCCTAGACTTCACCAGACTTCCCAAATAGTACATGAATTAAAAGCAAGACCAGAAAAGTCTTTGGAGGGTTGAATCCAGACTCCAACCTGACAGTCATCAAGTTGCAAGAAAAATCAGCCCACTTCTTAGGGTCTGGAAGCCAATCCTGGGTTTTTCTGTGGGGAAGATGGAAGGTGCTGCGAAGAACTTCTCTGAATCTTCAGAACCAAGAAACCCAGGAAGGGGAAGCTTCAGAGCCAGCCTCAGAACTGCTGCACATTGGACCTCCACTTACTGGCTGAGAATTCTTAATCAGAACTCAACCTGATTTTAAAATCCAAGCACCCGTAGGCATAAATTCAAACTCCTGTAATTTTTTTACTTCTTCCAATTAACTCATTTTATTTCTGATTTCAAATGACCAAGAGAAGACAACGGTATGAATCCTAAAGGAGGAATAAGAATAATTTGCTTTTCAAAGTGCCCAACAGTGTCTGCTAAACACAAATGCACAAGAAAAAAAAATCCCACGGGGATGTGGAACACCAACTCAACAGATTCAGAGGATCTGATACTGGGTGTACTAACTGGTTTATTTACTGGAACAACCAAATAAACAGAGCCTATTTGAGATTGAAAACTCCCCGGAGAGGGGACTGTTCCCTAAGTCCGCTGGCATCTGCTGTAACTTTCCCTATGATAATTTGAACTTTGCACTGACATAATTAAAACTATAGTCAACAGAATCAAGGCTCCTTTTCCTACTGCATAAACATGGCTGTAAAATCATCTCCTCGCCTTCCCCAGGAAACCTCACAGAAACATACCCTCAAAGAACTCACCTATAAAGGTGGGCAATTGTTGCAGAGGCATTTAAAGAATTTCCTTGAAGGCATTTTAAAGGTCCACTTAGGAGATACGCAATATACATGTAAAAAAAAAAATGTTCGATCAAGCAGTGTCCTACTCATAGGTCAACTTTTTCCCAGAATTTATTCAGAGACTCACAACACACTCAAACTTCAAAAAATAACTTCATGGTGACATAAATGTTTAGTTTAAATTTAACAGTATAGCACATACGTGTGTTTTACAAAATGCACACTATCCTCTACAGGACATTCTGTTTTTTCAGTGTCCTTTAGTGCACTGATTTTAGCAGGGGTGGTGAACATACAAAAACTTCTACTCAAGATTTCCAAATAGTTAATTTCATAATTACAAATAATGGATAAAATTAAGCGTAAAATAAGAACACAAACTGCAGCATTTCAGGTTACAGAGACAAATAATTTCTACTTATTTGGCAGAAAGCAGAGTATATCAAAACTTGAATTTAAAATTTCCCTTCTCTGATGATTGTTTTTCAATAGACCCCGGTGCTTGAAGTCAAAGAGAGACATACTCTATAAACCTTGGTTCACATATATTTAAATATACTATTGAACACACCTTGCGCGCTAAACACTAAACAGAACTTCAGTTTACCTAATGCATGCATACTCTGGTTGCTCTTCAAATCGTATAAATCTTTCGCCTTTTACCTAATGCACACTAACAAATCTCTAATGCAAACATTTTCAATCATGAACATACCAAGTCAAGGAGAACTTTTGAAAATGCTACAATTTGGCCCAATTTTGAGCAAACTCCTGTTTCCAAAGGTTTTCAAATTAACTGAAATCCTTGACAAAACCAACCAAGTGCTTTTCACCTTTATATAGCAAAACTAAAACCTAGCAACTCATAAAACATCCCCCCTCCATTATCTGCCAGTGTGGCTGATTTTTACAATGTCCCTACGGCCTAGTGGCCTGGAAAATATTTTAATAGACTCATTGCCGCCTAGGCTACTCCAAAGACTTGCACTAGCCATTAACCTGGCTTCCTTTCCAGGAATCAGATCACATTTAGGTTTCTACCCAGGTAGGTCTATTTTCCTGTCAGGTTCTACATACTGCCAACTAAAAACACCTGCAGACATTTCAGCAAATAAGCCCAAGCCCAGAGTGCCAACACGCCATTGCTTTCCAACCCACCAAACCCAACGTCACTAGGAAGAAATCTTACTGCACAGAGGAGTAGGTATTTTATTAACAAAAAACACAACCCATCGAACCAAAATCACCATCAGCTGAGTTAAGAGAACACTCGGCTCTCAGCATGGAAGTCCCACAAATCAAACCAACATTCACAGTGTCCCATTACCGACGGCCACTTGCTGAGTGTCTCTTCCTTTCCACCGGCACCAGCTGACATGCCTGGAACTAAGGAGCCCCTGAAGAGGGTCCAGAAGTCCACCATGGACAAGCCCATCTTTTTCTTTATCCCTGCCCTCCAGTCTCTGGGACTCTGTTGCTTTGAATCAGACCCGCATCCAGGCCCCGTCAGGGACAGGTAAAGAATCGAAAAATTCCAGAAGTGCTCCAAAAAGCCTTTGCAAAAGTAATCCACAGCACTCAACAGTGAATTTAGAAACCCCAATTTTTTTCTGAGTTTGAAGTTTTTAAGCCTTGCGGATGGTTGGAGTAGGAAAAAGGAAATTTACTAGGCAGTGCAAAGGAAATCTTGTTGTCCTCTATTGTGGTAGGGGGGGGTGTTGCCCAACCCTAACTTATCTGCTTGATAAAGGAAACCAAAGAAAATCTAAAAAGAACAAGATTTGGTCAAATGAAAAAGAAGCCTTTCCTTACCTTAATAGTGCTGGCCATAGTGCAATCAAGTTTATTGATCGTTATTAAATGTTAATAATAATTATTGCTTCTCGCTGACCAGAAAGTAGTTTTGATGAGGTTGTATAGAGCGGATGAGATTGTGCTAAGTCTGGGAAATGAAGTCAGCCAATAGCAGGAAGAGGTTTCTATTGGTCCTGGCCGCCCAGCCCGAAGAAACAGGATATTTGGGAGTGGAGAGATAAGAGACCCTGAAAACAATGTTGTTTTTCTTGATGATATGCAGCCAGGAGATTTTTTTTTTAATTAAAAAAAAAGGCATCAATTGCCTTGGACTGGGACTGCCACTGCAGGTGTGACCAGCGGGACACGCGGCACCCAGACCAGGGCAGGATACAGATGTGGCTTGACTCTGCATGGCTTCACATGAAGCGGGGCACGGAGGGCACCAGACAGCCCAGGTGCCAGTCTTTCTCAGCCTGCTGCTCCCCGGAAGTGCCACCAGGCTGGGACGGAGGATGTGTGTGACTTTCTCCTAAAGGGAAACTGCAGGTGGGACTCGATTTCTGTCCCTAGACAGCCATGCTTCATAATGACCGTTTGCTGGCGGATTGTCAGCAACCTTGTCTTATTCAACATCTCAACCAAGTGTTCCAGAACCGTTTTGTTTCTTCCTTCTAAATACTCACTTGTTTGTTTCACAAAAAGTGAGTTCACTTTGCAGACTCTAGAATCAAAGGAACCAAGCGAAATAAAGAAAATAAAACCCTGCTGATGTTTTGTTTTCAAGTATCCAATTAAAATTCAAATAACTGAAATTGCCACAAAGGGTTTAGAATTTCAGGGAGGAGGTCTCACTCCAGCGGTGTTACCCCAGTAGCGCTCTTGGGGACCCAGGGATGTCTTCTGAAGATCTCATTAAGGATTTCGAACCCAAGCTGCAAGTTCAGGGCCACAGGGCTGTTTTCCACTAGAAGGAAGTCCAGGGATTACAAGCCTGGACATTCCTTTGAGGATTTCAGACCTTTAATTACTCACTTTCAGGAAATTACTCGTTCTGTGGAAGAAACAACAGTTTGCTTTGAATCTTGCTACATGAAAGTTAGACCAGAATAGAGGTGTGGTATCCAAAGGGACCTTGTAAACACGATTGCCCCAACTTGAGTTGCCCACAATTCTTGGTTCCAGAAATGCTGTTCAGTGAGTGGACTTCATTCAGACCAAGGGCTGCCTACCTCAGATCCTCACTGCAGAGCCTTCATATGTAATCACCCCCAAGCAGCTTGCTGTGTGAGGATGGGAGAAGGGAAAACAGGAAAAAGAGCTGGCCAGAGGGAGGACAAAAGAAGCAGGGGGAGGAGAAAGAGAGGAAGAAAGAAAGAGAAAAGGAGGAGGAAGGGAGGGAGGGAGGCTGATTTCTGTTGTTTTCATCCCTGAACAATGAATAAGATGGTAGGTTGATTAAAATTGCGTTTCTCCTAAAATCTTAGTCTTCAGTTGTTTTACCTGGGCAGCTTACATTAGAATTCAGGTGTGCTGAAGGAAAAAAAAATAACCAAAGTCTAAAACAAAGCAAAAAAAACAACCTCTCTAGGCCCAACCAGGTTCCTGTTTTTTTCCCCCTAAAGAACCATTACTTTAAAAATGTGAACTGCTGATCCCCAATAAGCAGTGCTTCTTTAAGGGTTTATCAAACACTAGCTTTAAGTAAAAAAACTCCTTTGACAGAATAGTGATGGCAGAAATTTGTATGTGTCCTTTCTCCAACATGCCCTGCTTCTAACAAAGCTCCTTATTCGCTCTGCACAGCAGGAAACACTGACTTCTTTGTGGTATGAGAGATTGAGAGAATGAACCCCAGGCCTTTATAAGGGACTGCATTCCCAGACCTTTAGTTGCTTATTTTTGTTCTGAGACAGGTTCTCAAAGCGTTCCCCTGCCTCAGCCTCTTCGAGTACTGGGATTACAGTCATTCACCACCACTATCCTGGCACCAGTATTTTTATAGATGTCTGATTCTTCAAGGATGACTTGCCTTTACCTCTTTGCTCTTGCCTAATTCAAATCATAGAGTCAACAGTGAAATTTTTTAATCTCTTAATTTCAAAAGAGTTTCCAACTTACAGAAAAGGTATAAGAAAAAAGTCTCTTCTAATACCGCTTGCCTGGTTACTCCAAATGCCAGCAATTTCCATCATTTGCTTTCCTTTAGCTTTCTTATACTTTTTCGCCTTCACACTTATGTAAAATGTACACACCATTCTCTAGCTTATATAGATATCATTTCATTAAAGATTTATTGTTTTTGTTTGGATGCTTACAGGAAGAAACCAGATGCTATTATTTGATCTATGCCCTCAAGATTCTATCCATATGTCTCATCGTGTCTACTTCTGAAAATACATAAAAATCTAAAAAGTTAATAGGATGCTAATTTTGGGATCATGAGTTACAAGCTCTGTATAAAATTTTAAGAAGCAAATCTTCCTCATTTTTAAGGATATAGTGTTGGGCTACTTTATTTTCTTTTTTTAGTATTTGGTACAGGGTCTCATTACACAGCTCAGACTTGTAGTGATCCTCCTGTTTTCTGCCTCCCCAGCCCTGGGATTACAGGTGTGCGCCACCACGCCCAGTCTCAGTGGCTGGTTCAGCATGCCCAGGGGCAGGGCAGGTGTGGCATGTGGTGCCAGGGATCGAACCCAGGTCCCTGCGCTTGCCTAAGCAGGTGCTTAGTCCCTGAGCTATCTCGCCAGCCCCTATTAGCTGCTTTCTATCAGCCTCCAAGAGAATAATCCCTATATCTCGAATGCCATAGTAGCATCCAAATACGGACCATCATGTGCAAACTTTTTGTAAACTCTGATTGGCTACTGAAGGCATCGGGGGAGTCTCTGAATTAGAATTTTGCAGTATTGTTTCCCAAACGTTACCCTGAGAAGAGCGATCTGAAGATGGAGAGCTCACTTTATTGCTCTCCTTGTCCTTGCCAGTCTACACTATTAAAGGGCCTCAGCCCCAGGCCCTAGCTCTGGCTCACTCTGCAACCCAAGCCATTCCCTCCTCAGGGAGAACAGCCCAGAGGGCACCAGGCAGGTCCAAGTGGGGCAATCTAGCGGACTGCCTCTGCCTGAGAACCACTGTGGCTTGAACTAGGCAAGAGAGGGCCCTTCTTGCCCTCCACGACACACAGGAAGTCCCACACTGGACCGGCACAGCCGCCCAGGGCCGTGAGCACAGCCCCTCTGAACAAACTGCACGTTCCCACTTCCTCCTTACCCATCATGAATCCATCAGCCAGGAATTTACCCAGGCCCCTCCTTAGTCTGTTGCGTCTCGCTCCAAATAAAAAAGAAAGCACTGTAAAATGCAAAGGCCATAAAGATACTGTAACAATAAAAAAGCAGTATTGTTTTCTTCCTCTTTTCCTGAAAGTTCTGCAAACTCTGATCCTGACTCTCGTATTAACGTTTCTGTGGAATGTTCGGAAAGTACAGTGTGGGGGAGCAATACAGCCCCAAAAGTGGTACACCTCCACAGCAAGAGGAATCATGACATGCAGCTTAACTGGAGATGCAACACAAGCTTCATGCTTATTTTTCTTGCAGTCACCATCAGTATAAAGACTGCAGGAAAATGATACATTAGATGAATATTTAGCAATAGGGAAAACAGCTCTAGCTTACTGCTTGGTCAGTTAAAAATCACCTTTCTAATGAGAATTCTACCAAAGACCTATTTGTTGGAAAGGAAAAGGCAAAATAAAAATATCAGCAGGCTACACTTCATACTATTTTTTAAAAATGTATTTGGTACTGGGTCTTACTATGCAGCTCAGACTCCTAGTAATCCTCCTATCATTAGCCTCCCCAGTAATGGGATTATAGGCATGTACCACCATGTCCAGACTCTGTCACCAGCTCAGCATGCCCAGGGGGTGGAGGTGGAGTGCCATGTGGTGCCAGGGATCAAACCCCGGTCCCCGCTCTTGCCTAAGCAGGGGCTTGCTCCACTGAGCTATCTCACAGCCCACCTCATACTACTAATTGTAGACAATCTCCTTTTTTGTTTTTCCCCTTTTTTCCTCTATATTTTCAAAACATTTGCAATACGCAGAAATTATACTTAATGCGAGAGCTGTGCAAGTAGCGTGTAGTGTTCTGCCTTTGCAAACATCTGAGAAATGCAGGCACATTCTGTCCAAGGCAGGCACAGTTCCGACTGCTGCTAGATGCTTTATGCCTGCATGTCAAAAACCACGCTCCTTTAGGAATGTCTAGAGCAAGAAGAGAACGACTCTATTCTTAAATTAATTTCTGTGAGAAGACCTGGGACAGCACTGTGGTTGAGGGCGCACATCTCTTCAGCATTAATCCATGCAGTGGCAGCAATGCCAAGTGGACCTGCGCTGGGTGCTCGGGAGGCTGAGATGGAGGACCCCACCCCCTGCCCTCACCTGGGCATTCGGGAAGCCTATGTCAGTTCCTCACCTTCTCCCTGCATGAAACTTCAAAGCTGGAGCCACTTGAGGGGCAAAGACAGGCTCTTAGAAGGCAAAACAATAAGACGAAAATGCCATCTATTTTCGCTAAGATGACACAGGAATCTTAAAGTGCACAGTGTTGGGATTATTCATGAGGCCCCGGCAAAAAGGCTGTCCCAAGGATCTGTGCCAGGGATGTGCCTGAGATGGAGATAAGGAGCAGGCATCTAGAGTGGCCTTGCAGTGGAAAACTTCAGCTGGCTGTGGAACTTTCCCATCTCCCTCAATGGGCCGTTTGGTGGGGGCACAGCTGCAACAGGTCACGTGCTCAACCCTAGAGGTCGCTGATCCCCAAGGCAAAAGGACCTTTCCTCTATGCAGGGC